ACCAAATAATGAAGAGCAAAATGATTAGAACCAAGAGAACACTGTATACAGTAACAATATTGTTTTAAGAACAACTTTGAGTGACTAAGTCATTTTGATTATTATAAATACCCAAATTAATCATAAAGGACATATGAAGGAAGATGCTATCTACATGCACAGAAAGAACTGATAAACAGGAGTATATATGTATATATGACTTTGCATATCTATACTTATTTGTGTCTAATGATAGCCATCTCTAGGGTAGGGGGTAGGGGAAAAGGAAGAAAAAAAGGAAAAAAATTACATAACCCTATTATATATTTTAAAAGGAACAGCAAGTTGTACACAATGGATTTGCAGTTTCATATACAATCATCTTTTTTATTATATTATGTTATAGAAATGCTTGTTTTAGTCCATAAATTAAAATAAAACTTAAAAAAAAAACATAGCAAAATAGCTTTAGAACTAAGCAGTGGATCATAATTTGGTCCCATTCATTCATTAATTAGGTCTTTCAATGGCCTTCAGCATGACCTTGAATAAAATAAGTCATTTAAATGCATTGATTACTCCTTTGCTCATTTAGACAATAAGACTAAATAATTCAAATCTACTTTTGCTTTTGCTATGATATAATAAAGAGATTTAAAATATAAAAGCACTGAATGTGAATGTTAGGTACTTGAAATGCTCACTTGCCACAATATTATAAAATATGCAAGCATTTATTTTTCCCTAGTAACAATAGATGTGTACATTGATCCCTTCATGCCACCCACATTATTAATAATGGTATACAAACATATTCATGAGGAAACAAGTTACATCATATTCTTGTACCATTAGACTTTTCCTCCCCTTTTCACTATAATGATGTTTTCTCTTGTGATAGAACCAATATCTACCAGAGTTAACACATACACATACATACACACACACAAAACCCAATACAGGTTAGGAAAATGTGACAAAGCTAGGGCTTGATTAGGAATGGGGTAAGGTTCAAGCCATGCCTCTCTTGATACAGCTTCTTAGTGACCTCTGGCCATGCTGATGTGGCTTCCTCCACAGATGAGACAGGGTTTGGCACAGTGCCTGGTATATAGTAGGTAGTTAATAAACATTTGCTGACTTGACTTTACCTAGGGGCATAAAAGTCCCACGACTGTGGGGTCAGAGTTCCCCTGATGTGGCGGAAGTCTGAAAACCATGACAGTCACCATACCTGTATATGTATATATACACGCACACATATACAGTTAAGTAATGAGTGGCAACTTTGAAGAGGGCTGTTTCAGTTAAATGATGAGGTCAGGAGACAGTCTAGAACAGACTTCACAGAACAAATCCCCTTAATAAAAGGATTTGTTCTGTAAAACTTGGACTCAGTCAAAAGGCCGCACCCAAGGACCTAGAAGGTCACAGGTGGCCTCGAGGCTGCAGGTAGTGTAACTGCTCATAGCAAAGAGGGGTATGAGCTACGGTCTCAAGAATATACTTTCAGTACCAAGAATTGTGTTATCTTTTTGCCACATCTTCCAGAATTGAAGGATCATCTATATAAAGTTAGAATGGTCCTTAGAGGTCAGTAAGATCAAGCCTCTCATTTTGAATAAGAGAAAACTGAAGCACAGAGAGGTTAAATGACCTGTGAAGGATCACTCAGGTAAGAGGTATCTGTGGTAGGATTTGAATTAGGGTCTTCCTGACTCCAAGCCCCACATTCTACTCACTGTACCATCTAGACATCTCCCTACACATATACCTCACTGTAGCGTACTATCGTACTGTTTGAAGCTACTCTATCCATGGTTGTGTGTACAATGGGAGAGTACACACAGGTTTCTGGGGTTCATGTTTTGTGCCAACTGTTCCTGCTATACCATCTTAGTAAATGCCATTAATAAAAACTAATTAAGCCCACTGGCTGATTATTAATAGAAATGATACTAAGATTCATGATGGCTATCCCTAGAACCTGAGAATAGCAGTCACCCTCTGGAGACCCAATCTGTGAGTTTGAGTAGCCCTAGAAGGGATACTATATAAATATACATATACTTTCAAATTATACAAATGCAGTTTATATATACATACACAGATACGCATAACAGAAACAAGAGAAACAATTGAGACAATGCTGACAAGCATTAAGAGAATGATAAATGGGAATTCAAAGAAACTCTTTAGTACTTCTTCCACTTTCTTCCCTGGAGCACTCACCTACTTCCACAGTAAAAAATATCACTTCTTGGCAATGACTCCTAAATCTCCATCTCCAATTCCTACCTACTGGATAGCTACATATCAATATATACAATTGACACCTCAAAGCTAATATTTCAAACACTGAACAAATTATCTTTTCCCAAGACCTCCTCCTCTAATTCTGTTATCAATACCAGCATCCTTCCTAGTACTAGACTTAAAACTTCAAAGGCAATGTGGTATTGTGAAATAGGTGCTCCAGGAGAGACCTGGATTCAAGTATTAGTGAGCCTACAGTCAAGCAACAGAACCACCAGTTGCTTTATCTGTAAAATTTCCGTAATACCAACCCTATCTCTACACAACAGTGACTGTGAGGAAAGTGATAAGCTTTAAAGTGATATATAAATCATAAGATCACCAAGCCCTGTTGATTCTGCCTATATAACTCTTGTGTCTGACCCCCTTTTAATCACTGTTACTACAACTCTAGTTTAGTTTGATATCTTTTCTCTGGACTAATACAATCAATCAATTCCTAACAGGGCTCTCCACACTCTAATCAATCCTAAATATGTCTTCTATTAAGGCAGACATTAAAGATATTTGCAAAAATGTAAAACAATGCCATTTTTCTCACTAATTTTTGTTTATAGTTTTTTTATGAAAAATAATATTTACGTTAACCTATAACAGCTTATTTTAATGAATACATATTTTTCAAAATTTATCAGTTTTAATTTCAGATATGGTAAATATCAATAGATATAATCCACATAAACAAAAGCTCTCTGGGGTCCTCAATAAATTTTAAGAGTATGACAGGGTCCTGAGACCAAAAAATTTGAAAACTGCTACTCTACACTCTCACTCACCTCATCAGTTCCCATGGGTTTCTCATCTCAATGCTGATGACTCCTAAATCTGTATTTCTATCCCTGATCTCCAGAACCCACTATCAAATGTCTATTAGATATTTCAAATATCTTAAAATCAACAGGGCAAACAGAATTTATCATCTTTCCCCCACAAACCCATCACTCTTCCCAACTTCCTCCTCCAAAAAACACACTGGGGAATGGAATTCCACAAAAACAGTTAGGAAAACTGGATAACTATAAGCAGAAAATAATTTTAAATTGACACACTAATTACTATATTATATTGCAACTCAAACAATCAATAAACATTTATTAAGCAAGCCCCTACTATGGCAAGCACTGTGCTAAATGGATCAACTATCTAAAAACTAGAGGTAAAAATTAATATTTGTATCAGTTGGGGAGCATAAAAAATTGTTATCAGACAATAAAAGAAATTATTGAAAACAAAAGGGAAAGATTTGCCTGTTACAGAAAGATAAAAGGATTTTCCAGGACAAAAAAAACATACAAAGAAAGAACCGAAGCTAGGGATGGAGAAAACTAAAATCTATTCTACTATTCTTCACCATCATTTTTGTTGTCTTTTTTTTAGTTATGTCTGACTCTTCATGACTCCATTTGGGGTTTTCTTGACAAAGATACTAGAGTGGTTTGCTACTTCCTTCTCTAGCTCATTTTACACATGAGGAAACTGAGGTAAAGTAGGATCAAATGACTTACCCAGATTCACACAGCTAGTAAGTGTCTGAGGCCAAACTTGAACTCAGGAAGATGAGTCTTCCCAACACCCAGACCTACCATTCTATCCACTGAGCTACCTAGCTGCCCTTCACCATCACAGTATCATAAAATGTCAGATCTAGAAAGGACCTTTGAAATCACTTCCAACCCCTTCATTTTACAGAAACCAAAAATGAAATATACAGCTCCTTAAATCTTTTTCTTGTGTTTTCACACCCTAACCTCTTCTGCTACTGTAAATAAGGTAAGTCCTACTTCTGTCTTCTCTGTACCATAAATTTAGGACAAAGGCTAGAAGATGAAATGAAGAGGAAGATTAAAAAGGCTCCAATATTTATTTTACCACGTTACAACAGATTTGCTAAACTTATGAATGTTCTTCTCCTGAAACAAGAGATTGCCCTTCTACAAGGATACCTGATCTTTACTACTAGTTTTTTAAGGAAAAATTCCATGCAATTTCATCAAAGCATCAATCAGCAAAATCAGCACTCAAAACTAGGCTCTAATGGGATTAAGAAGCCCAAAGTGATATGGTAAATCAGAAAAAATGTAATATGAAATTGTGAGAATTTTTTTTTTCAAATGGGAGGCAAATGCTGGATCCGCGAATTACTCTCCCTGTATGACCTTGGAAAAATCATTTCATCTCTCAGATTCTCATTTTTCTCATCCTGTAAAATAAGAGGAATGAACTGGGCAGTCCCTTGGGTCTCTTTCATTTCTAAATCCTGTAATACTTTTGAAGGACCCACAGCTCTTCACACATGCTGCCCATTAACTGGGCCAGATGATAGGGATCAAAAGATCAAACTGAGAATCATCAGAAACGCCTTGCCCATCATTCTACGCCTTAAGGAAAGGACCAGGCCTAGAAACAAACTCTAGAGGAGACTCCATTACATTACGTTTTCACTAATTTTTTTTTCCTTCAAGTTATACAGTATACTTCCGGGCCGGAATTTCTAAATGACCTTCCAGGGGAGGCGCCCGGGCAGCGTTCTGTTCAAGGTCCTTTGTGGGAAAAGCCAGAAAGTTTGGAACAGGTATGGAGGCGAGGAGGACGCCGTCAGCGTAAGCAAAGGCACAGGAAAGGCTTAAAGTTCGCTTCTTAAGGTTCACCTTCTGCACCGCCACTCCCATACCACACACACGCCACTGGCAGAGGGCTAAGCTTACCTGTTGCCTCCTTGGGCACGTTCTCTGAGGCAGCCGAGGCAGCCGGCCTTGAGTGGGCGGTGGGTCGGACCCAGGGGCGGGGGGTCCCAACCAGGAGGCAGGACTGGTTGGACTTCCGCCTGATAGCCATCCGCCTAAAGTTAGTGCTGCCTTCCGTGCTCATCTTACTCGCAGTTTGGATTCGCTCTCCTTTCCTTGTTTTTTCTCCGCTGCGTCCCTACCCTAGTCTCTAGCTACATGCTTTCCGACTCTCTACAGGCTGAGACTTAATTTACTTTGTTGCCGGCTATGATTTATCTCATAACGCACTACAGATAAGGACCGAACCCCCTGGCTCCTGCTTCGGGTCCGACCCTCTGCATTCCCAGCCTTATCTGCACACTCCCTCCTTCCCTCCCTCTTTTCTTCTTCCTCGGGAGCTTGCTGGAAGCTCCCGGAGCACAGACGCACTGCCGCAGCCCAACTTTGGCTCTGAATTCCTGCGGCAGCTGCAGCTGCTGCCGCAGTTGTCGCGCCTGCTTCCAAAGCTCAGCTTTAAAATTCACTTGCGTCCTCCACTGCTACAGGGCTGGGTTCCACAGCACCCTTTCCCACAGTTTCTACTTTTCTCTCTTTTTTCAGAAACAGTGAGCAGCCAGCCAACGGAGGGCAAAGGATCCGGCCTATTTGAGTATCCCCAAAGTGCTGCTTGCTTACACTGGCCAGGAATTCTTGAAACTGCAAGAAGGTTCCAGGACGAGTAGCTCAGGTTCTTCCCGTACACGTGCCTAGCCCCGCCTCAGTGTCTCCCATTTGCCCAGCTGCCCAGCAGGCAGCTCACCTATAAGCTTCTCACCTGTTCCACAGGAACCATTAAGATTGTAGATCTAGAGCTGAAAGGAACTTAAGAGGATGTCTAAACAACCCCTTGTTACTTACCTGTAAGACTCACAGGTATACTTACCTGTAGAGATCCAGGATGAAAAAGGAAACATACGGTATGGACGCTTTCCAAATATAAATGGTTCCCAGGGATTTAAGGATTGAATGCTGCAAAAATTATTAAAAGGCTGCTTAAGCTTGGCTCTTTTTAATCATTCAGTTAATTTATTGAGTGAAAATCATCTCTTTGAAAAGAACAATATGTTCTCATTTTTTCACTGGGAATTGGAGGGCAGAAAAGTTTAAAAAAAATAATGTAAAGATAGATTGAGACAGAGTAAAAAATAAAATCTTTAACATTTTCCCCTCACTTTTCTCTCTTAATTGTTTGCAACTCTATTGGAATCTAAAGATCCAGAACTAAAAGAAATCGAATATTTGGGGCTACTTTTCCATTTTTCATATTAACCAAGATTCTTCAGTTTTCTCTTTCACAGTCCACATAAATCCAAAAACATTGCTTATGAACACCTTACAAGCTGTAATGGAGGTTAAATTAAAATACATCAGTTTTCTAGGGTTGAATTTATCCAACTTCAGACTCACCTGTACACACTAAAATTGGAGCACCAAGATTATAGGCCTTCCCTCAGGCTCATGCCCTTGGTCTTCCAGCAAGTCCTCAAGAGCACCGAGGAGACCGAAACTTGCCTTAGATTCCAGGACTTAACCAAGGCCTTTCTTTTGAAAAGATTTGTTCTCAGATGATTTGCTAATTGAGGCACCACTGTATTGAACCAAGCTATTGTCCCTTCCATGGCATAATTACAAGGCTAATACTGCCCATTATTTGAAGTGTTTTCTTCAACTGCGTCCTTTATACAGTCAATCGATTATCGTTTATTAAGCACACACTGTGTTCCAGGCAGTGTATTCTTTCTACCGTATTTGGCTCTATTCGGCTTCCTGCAGTAGTTGCAGTTATCTGCAGTTGTGGTGACTGCTTTCAGGCTACAGCTTTAAAGCTTCATCAGCCACCTCCACTGCCACAGGGCAGAGTCCCCCAGCACCCTTTTCTACAGCTTCTACCTCAATGTGCATGATAATAGCATCTTCCTCCCAGGGTTGTTGTGAAGATAAAATATGTATAAAGTGCTCTGCAAACTTTAAAACATTATGTACACATATATATGTATATGCTGCTGTTTATTATTATTAATACTAAATAATACTAATAATGGTTGTTGAGCATGTGGTTCGATGAGGTGGGTGAATGTGAAGGTCCTTTTGGCTTCAGAGTACCATTGGCTTGTCACAAAAGACTCACTTTTGCAAAGTCAGTTAAATAATTTAGAGACCCTAGATGGTGACTGTCCTTTGTTCCTAAGATTGGTGATTGCATTTACCTGCCCCAGTAAGAGTGGATTCCTTTTGCAGATGATTCCCTGATAGGGATCTACAAGGGAGGACATGAGAAATCAAAGAGATTGGTTTGTTGGATTTGCTTCTATACCACCTCACCACAGTCCTCTGCAGTATAATTAGCCAGCATGAGGACCAGTGAAATCTCATCTTCTAGGTGGAGCCCCACCCAAGTGGTATCAGGCTTTAGCCAAGGGCCTTCCCTACCAAAGTACCATGACTTTGTGGTATTGCTAGACCAACTAGTAAAATCCAAGCGGATGTTGGGACAGTTGGAGTCAGCTGTCTTCAAAAATGATGGTAAAGGCCCACCACCCCTCTTGGTGGTGGGCAGAGGTTGATAATACCCTTCCCCTCAAGGATCATGGGATTTGGCTTCTGAAATACAAGGTTGTTAAGATCAATCACCAACCTATGGGAGTGCTAGTAAAACTGTAGTACATCCAGAATCAGGGCAGTAAGCACCATCTGTCCTTAAAGCATTCCCTAAAGTTTCTTGCAAGTCCCAAGCTATCCAAGTTCCTATATCCAAACTTGGGGGACTTCTGGTATGATTTCTCCTAAGGTGAATTCCAATGTTCTAACCATAGAACTGTAGCGAGGTCATATGCCCAAATCATAGTAGGCAGGAAGGGTGCGTGGGGGTAAGTTACCAAATATGTAAGGGTCTGCTGGACACCATCAGCCTGTGAACTGTTAAAATGGAAGAAACCCCAGGTCCAAAAGCAGAGCTTGTAATGGACCAGAGTCTGATCACAGTTTGCAAAGATTATAAATGCATTTGTTGCCTGAGAAGAAGAAGCTTACAAACTGGAACAGTGAAATAAGGTTCACATCTGCTCAGCGGGGAGTTGGAAAGGATAAAGTGTTTATACATGGCTAAGTCAGGATTAAGGGAGAAATAAAATAATTGGGAAGTCAGGTATGAAGTGGGGGTCTAGGGAGAAGATATCTATAAATACAATGAATCAGAAAGCAGGATGTTTGCTGCTCTTTGGATAAGTCAGGAACCTAGATGTCTGCTTCCCTTCCTGACTTATAAGTCAGAAACCAAGATGTTTGCTTTTTTCTCTGAGCTGGTCAAGGCTGGTTTCAGCAGTTGCAGGCATCTCTGTAGTCAGCTAAAGTTTACTTCACAAAGGATCACTGGTATGTCAAGCAGCCGGGGGCAACCGAGGTCCTGCTAATTGGCTAGTTGCTGTGCTACTCCATTGTCTGGTTCCCCAGTAAAAAAAAAAAAAAAAAAAAAAAAAAGGGAAGCTATAGCATATTTAATCGGTTAGTACAAGTATTACAGAGGCAATGTTCATATACTCATGCCAGAGACCACCCAACAGGTTCACCAGAATAACCAATTTCCACCAGGAGTTTTGGGACAGACCGCCAAATAAAAGGACAATCTTGCTGAAATGGAGGTGGGTGGAAAAAGCTCTATGTAGGTCACGCTTATGGTGGTAATCAATCATGGTGAGGATATTGTATGAATAGATTCCATGATCTCTTAGGAGTTACTGCCTATGTAGGGCACTTAAGGGAACCTCTATCAATCTACAAGTATTTATTAAGTGCTTACTATGTTCCACGCACAGTGCTAAGTTCTGGGGATATAAATGTAAGGCTGAGGCTGGTAATTTTGCTGATGGACAAAAAAAAAATGAGGCAAAAACAAATGTGAAACTTTCAAATGAAAAATACTTAAGAGAGCAACTGTCCAGAAATGAATCACTTACCCAGGGTAAAGATTACCTCAATACCTTGTGTTCTAGATGTTCATCTGCATAAGACCAACAGGTGAATTTAGAAATAAAAACTGGGAAACCTGGACTCCAGAATTATGTTGCTGTTGTCAGATAAATAACCATTGTCTAGTTATGGCCTATAAAGGTAGAGGTAGAGTGAGGTCTCTTGCTGAAGATTTGACTCAGCCCCTGAAACCAAGAAGGGTGGTCAAAGACCATCTCAGAACCTAGTTGAACAGGGGTTATATACCTCTCTGTACTGCCACCTTCTGCATTGAAGAAGGAAATCTCTCAGAGCCTCGCCACGGGTCCAAAACTGGAAAAGCTTCGGGAAATCCTGGGCCAAGAGTGGAATTTCTTAGCGTAGCAACAGAGCCTTGTATCAAAACAGCAAACACTAACAACAGACACTAGTTCAACATGGATGCCATGCCCATCAATGAACTTTGTGAGGACAATTCCTGAGAAAGATAAAGGACATTGAAGCCCACAGAGTTGCCAACTGCTTGGAGTAAATGTCTTCCATTGTACCGCATAAAACCCCTTTGATGACCCAACCTGCTAGCATAGGTTGGGGAAATGATTTGGGGAGCATTAGGAAGAGGGGGTAGGAGGCAGTCATGCTACATATAGAAAAAGCAGAAACAGTTCCTGTCTTCAAGGAACTCACATTATTATGTAGTAACATGCCAATGAGTGTGGGTAAGACCAAATGAAATCCCTAGGGTTTTCCTGAGCCAGCCTGTGTAATTAACACCAAAAAAAATCAGGTCCTGGGAGGGTTAAAATCTATTTCTTCCCTAGTAATGGAGTTAAAGGAGGCTAAAGTACTTTGTTACGCTAGCTCCTCTTACAGCAATTCTTTATTATTAATAAAGAAGACTGGTGACACTTGAAAGTTTACGGTGGAGTACAACAAAGTTGCCACACCAATTGCAGTAGCCGTTATTGAACTCATCAATGTGGTGAACTAGGTAGCCCAGTCAGACCCCAGGTGAATGTTGTCGATCTCACTAATGCTTTTCTCTTCATTCATGTGGCTGAGACTAGTCAATAACAGTTTGCCTTCATCTGGGAAGGAGTTCAGAATGCCTTCAGTATCCCTTCCCAAGCCTACTTCAATTTTCCCTCCTACTATCATAGTCTGTTGGGCAGAGATTTGAAAAAAGTCTCACTTCCTGAGGGTGTTGTTGTCCACCACTACACCAATGACCATATGAAGGACAAGAGGTAGGAGAGCAATCCTAAGAAAATTCAGAAACCAACCCACTCAGTCAAGTTTTGGAGAAGATAGTGCATGAGGAAGAACCTAGATAATTT